TTCATGGCTTCTTACTTGGTGGTACTGGGGTAGGTAAAACACCTAGTCCTGGCAGAAGGCACACACATCTCGACAGAGGAAACACGCAGACAGTCAGCAGCCTGTAGCACTAGCAGCTGGCAGATTAGGTGGCTGCTGCCCCCAGTAACACATTTGAAGCACTTGACACCAGTGAGTGCCAGACAAAGTGTGTTATTGAGCTGTGGATAAATCTATCTCCAACAGCAATAACTGCTGTTAACCTACCCACCACATTCCCATACCAATTAACATCTTAACTGCACACACATTGCCTAAAGGATCTAGGGGATTTGACAAGGGATTAGTTTAGATAACTTGGCGTTATTTTTATTGCGATCCTACTGGTGTTGTATCATCCCTCTATAAAGATATGCTTAACAGCCTTGTCTGGTAGGCAGCAAGCTTCAGTTTGTTACTGTTGCCTCCAGGTTAAGTTTTCAAACTTTGGCAAGTAGAAATAGGGACACTCCTGAGTAATACTAATACAGCACTCAGTTTCCTCACACTGACCTGGTAGACATCTAGCATGCTGTAGAAATGCTTCCAGCATAGTTGCCTAGATAGAATGGCACTGGGCTGGGATGTCCTTTTCAATTCTGTTTACCTACAATTATCTGTAGAAATAAAAACATGAGGGCAAATTAGAGGCTGCTTTGAACTCTTTCAGAAAATATGAACAAACATTAAACAAAATGGCAAGCTGACTGTCCATCATAGTCCACTGGGATCCTTCTTCTGCAGGAGAATTAGTTGGTGTCATTCCATGTCAGATTCATAGTCACATCCCTGGAAAGCTCTCTAGAAACTAAACCAGTGTAAAATCAAAGGATCTATTCTGAAAGGAGACAAGGAAAGTCCCCACTGACATTGAATGCATCTATAGGAACACATAAAGGGAAGGAATGGAGAGAACTGTATGGAAGGGTTTACAGCTTTGTTCAGTTTGTTTACGGTGCTGTGATAAGATGTTAGCAGAGAAAAGCAAGTCTCTTTGGGAAACCTAAAAAGAGTGCAGCTCCTCTCCCTGCCATGGGGAGCTCTGAAACACCTTGGGATGAAAAATCTTGGTTCAAACCGTAGGATATTTATTGATGAAAAACAATAGCAGATGCTTTTTCAATTCCTTTGATTCTAGCACACTTTGCATGCTAGAACTGTTGTGCTAGAAGCGATACTTCTGACGTGCTGACACTTGAAGAGCTCCATGCAGAGCACCACACCACACCACTCTTGCTGAGGGGGAGAAATGTGGTGAGAATTAAGAATGCAACTATTCAGCTTGGAACTTTGCCAGAATACAAAGAACAACACCCAGCTTTTTACAAAAAAGAACCTCATTAAATATTTAGTTACAAAATATGGAAAGATTAAAAAACCCTAACACAGTAAGTTTTTCATGCTTCAAGGCAAGGACTGGGAATTTTCTCAGCATGCAATAGCTATTATTAAGACTCATTCAGATGTATCATTGTACTTTCAGAAGTACTAGCCTATGATAACACTAGGCCAAGATACAGTGTATCCCTCAGTCCGAGACACCACCACTTTGTTTCTTGTAAAGACAGAAGAGTATTGAAGTCTTACATGACGGGCCCTCTGCTTCTATACTCTGCCTTCAAAGCCTGTAGGCATGTCAGTCTCCTGGCAGAGCAGCATGGAGCTGTGGAGCACATCCTGGAGCATCTGTATCAGACTGGGTAGTGCAAGGCCAGACCGGACTGCTCACAGCTCTGTCACCAACTCTGCCTCCAGTCTGGGAAATGAGTGTTTGAAATTGAAGACTTCTGCACCAGTGCACCACATTACTGGAAATTTCCCAACGCTGCCGGCGTTTCTATGTAAGAAATATAACCTGGTTTCAGATCTATTCTATGCATCTACCTGAATAACAAAGCATTCTTACAAATGTTTGTTTCATTGAAGTGGCAAATTCAAAATTAGATGGCCACAAAACTGAATGTTACTATCAGATGACAGGATAACCTGAGACACCTTTTCTATGGTGAAATAAGAATTCCTTATAAAGTCAGCCTTTCCCTATGTCTGAAGAGATCACTTTGTGTAGCTTTTTTTTTTTTAGTTTAAAGAAAACCAAACCTTCCCTATGTCTGAAGAGATCACTCTGTGTAGCTTTTTTTTTTAGTTTAAAGAAAACCAAACCAACCAAGAACCCTCAGCCCTTCAAACAGTGCTTTTATAGCCCCAGTGCATCTTTTAGGTCTTTAAGGGTGCAGAATCTTCTTGGAAAGCTACTCCCTAGCATGAGACTACATCATCTACTGTTGGAAGCTGAAGGCTTTCAAAACTGCTTAGGGGTAGAAACGCAAAAAAAAAAAGTCATTAGCCTTTTCAACTGTGTGGTTCTTATGAAGGCCAAAACTCTTCAGGGGTAACACTGAAGCTACCAGTACCTTGTACTTTTGACTCAGCCAGGGGAACTCCTACTGCAAAAGGTTAGCAGTGCAGGTGGGGACAATGTTAAATTGCTGTTCTCCTTCCTTGTGAATCACAGATGACAGCACAGAACCAACCCCAAAAGAAGGGAGTCAGTCAAATGTGCTTACCTACATTTAGCTCATGGAGAAATCACCAAAAGATTTCTTTGTCCTTCCTCTGAAACACATGGAATTGCTGCTGCCTGAGGTGTGACACCAGCCTTCACTGAGAACACACCAGGCTTGACTGAGGTGTGTAGTTCCAGAGGGCTGAGAAGGGTTTGCATCATAATGGGAGTGTGGTCCCAGCCAGAGACTCCTTTCCCAGTGCTGTACCCTGGAGCAAAGAACTGAGACGTTATCTCTTCATGGTCAAATCTCTCCCATTCTTTCAAGAAAACACTCTACTTTTATCCACTTGGAGAAAGCCAACTGGGGCCCCTGGGAACTCCAGCAACCAATAAATAGCAATCATCTACTCAAAATGTGGCTGGTATGAATATTGGCAAGTAGACATTTATTTCCAAAGCTGAACATGACTTTTAAAGTGTCATCTCATGAAATTACTTGGTCTATTAAGCATAAAAAAAAAATCTATGAGATTTTCTTAGTCTCCAGTTTTGTTTTCCGTAAGATTTTAGGGGCAGATGAGCAGATAGATATACACTTGCTACTTATTTTGCTCTGCTCTGTCTCCATCTCTTACCCTTTTTAGCATGGAAAGCTTTGACTGCTATAGTTAAATTCTGAATTTTCTCCTTTCATTATTGAGCACTTTAGCCCCAAAATAGGATGCCCTCTTTCCTAGCATGCCCCCTAATTTCCTCAGGAATTTGGTGATCCCAGTGAGCCATTTCCTGAAAACCATTCAATGTGCCACACTGCTGCTCCAGGCTTTCCTCTATAACAAACTGCTATTGCTGAATGACTCCCTCTTTTCTTTACACACCAAATTTATCTGGGAAAGAAGCCTACATGCTCAAATCAATGATGGAAAAGATTACAACTTTTAAGAAGAGTTTAGCTGCACAAACTGCAAAGTATCTTGAGGCTCAGATAATTCAGAGATTACTTTGCACTACTGTCATTTGCAGCAGCCCCTAAAACTGTTTTATTAACTGGGTGGGAGAGAAGCACGTAGAGACTGACTTCAGTTGTTTTGAAAGTCTTTTTTTCTTGTTTCTTTTTCAAAACAGTCAGCATCTCTTTAAAGTTGCTTGACAGCTCTGAAGATTAAAAGCAGAGCTTTCTAATGCACATTTCACAGCAGTCCGGGAATGCTATCAGGACGCAAAAGCCTCCTCTGCAACTAGACAGGGACTATGAAGAGAAGTGGCCAAATATGGTCCTGCCTCAGCATACCAAAATGCTTTCACAGATATGTGCCTGAGTAACAGCAAGTTTTCATCACCACACACAAGAACTGGATTATATCCGAGAACCTTTTCGATGCTGCATTTTTACTGCAAGAACTACAAGTAGTTGCTCTGCCACCCCCCTTTTTTTTTTTTTAAATTAAGATAACAGCATGGAAAGTCCCGATGTGACAGCCAGAGGAGGCTCCTTCAGCAGTAGTGCAACTGAACCCGTGCCAGAAGCTCCGTCTGTTGGCACATGTGAAGGAGCAAGACTACACAGCCCTGCTTCTGGAAAGGTTTCACAGCTTGTGCAGAGCTCCCCAGTGCTGCAAGATTGCTGGCATCCAAGTTAGCAGTCAAAGGCCATTTGGAGTGGCCAGTGCTTCACTGTGGGCACAGCAGATAAGCCAAATAAGGACTCGGGAAGTGTATTGTGTGGTGTTGCAGTCCCCGTGATTCTGGCAATGGAGAAAAGGGTTAGCAATTTCATTTTTGTGTACAAACTTTATCTCTGCCTGCCTTATCACAGCAATGGTTTGTACCTCTGTTATCCTGACAAGATGGAATACATAGACTTGGTGTTAACTTCTTTCCTTTGTAGAGCTGAGTTTCTCACAGCAAAGTAGCACAGGCGCACTCAAATTAGTCCTAAATGAGAGACTGGACACCAGAAACAGTCACATGAAAAATAAAATACTTACGAGGAAGACCTTCCCTTTTCTCTGTTACAGCTAATGCTGCAGGTTATCACAACTGAGAAGTTTCACCTATTTTGTTTCCTTTTCATGGTGAGAGCAATTGCTTCTGAGCCAAACATTGCAAGAATGAGGAAAAACCGTAACAGCGTAGTTTGAATTTGGGTGAGGGAAAAAGGGAAGGAGCTTTCTATTGTTGCACTTCCTGTGTCTCGTGCCTCTACGCAATACTGAACAGATTTTATTTAAAAAAAATGGTTTAAACAGAGATGCCTGCAACGTTCTGAAAACTAAATTAAGAGAAATTATTTTATTGACAATTCCTACAATGCAGCTCAGTGTTTTGTGCCAAAGTGGTTGTGCTGGCTATTCCAAGGGATGTTTAAAGAAGGTGATGTTCATTGGTTGATCTACTTCACCCAAATGTATTTAGGGCATATAAATAAAGAGAAAGTAAATAAGTTAAAAGATAATCTAATAGGAGACAGAAATAGCATTTAAGTTTATCCCATTTTTCAAATTATGTCATCATTTTTATTTAACAACAGTTTAGAAGTGATGCCAAATCAACTCTTTGCCCAAGTTAGCCCAAAATATCTCCCTTTTCTGAGAAAAAAGAATTCAATATCACACTCAGTAAGAAAACAGAGAGAAAACTGCCAAGAGTCATGTAGTTCAATGGTAAAAGAAATTCAGGTCTCAGGCTTGAGGGCTATAGATTAATGGAGTTAATGGAAGGTTTGCACAATGAAATAGGGAAAGCATAATTTTTGCTTAGCAGTAATGACAAAAAGTATGGGGGAAAGCTTCACATATTCAGGCAGATGCATAAATTTCCCCCAGCTCTTTGTTCTTTCATTTCCCAACATTTGTTAAATTCTTCCCACTTTCCATCATTTATTTAAGAGCTCTTGCAGATGTTTTAGATTTCTTCTAATCACAGCTAAGCACTACTTACACTGGGTTTTTTAAAACAATATGCAATACATAATTTTGTATTAAGCTCCATTTTCCAAAGCCGATGTTCTCCTGCACCTTTTGTTCTCATATGTTACCCATTATAAAAGCGGGCTTGTTAACCAGAAGTTATTCCACAAACATTTTCAAGCTTTGATCATTCTGTCTGTAGACATTTCATCTATCTGTGTAGTACAAGGATGCTGTATGGAATTGTGGTCGCTAGTATATTTGCAGTTTCACACTTTGCCTGCAGAAAAACTGTGCTACAGTTAAGCATTGCTTGCTGAAGAAGAGGTGAACCAGTAGTTGTGGTGTGGGATCAGGTGATGGGGCACAAGCAGCAGCTTCTCTAGGCGTAGGATCAGTTGATATCACAAGACACAAATGGGAGAAATTAGAAACACTTCCTAGAGAAGAACAATAACTTCTCATCAACTCACCTCTCTCCTGTGGGCAAAAAGAATGTGAGCAGAAAATGCTTTCCAGTCAAACACTCCCACAGTGACCAGCTGCAAGGACAGCAGAACCAGGTCATTCATGCAGGCAGAGAGGAACTGTCAGGACTAGTAGGCAGAGTACTAGTAAGAGGAGTTAGTAAGAGGAGCGCTGTAGAACAGCTTGGGAAGAGCCTCCAAGCTCACAGTCAAATCATCACCAGAGCAAGTAGAGAGGGAGCCTGAGATTGCACAGCACAACATGTTTGGGTTTCTACAGTGACAGCACTTTTCTGCTCTCAGTAAGTTGAATCTTGTCTGTCTCTGCCTTTACCCAGTGGGTGGGAAGTTTCTTTAAATCCCAGGAACTATTCCCTGGTGAAATAGTGCGATCCAACTGGTGAACAGAGCCACTGAATTGTCCTTTATAGTCTGGTACAAAATTCAGAGAAAGCAGATACTGTTCTGTCCCTCTAAAGAAATGGCTCATATATAGCACATACAGAAAATACACAGGACTTGCAATGGAAGAGGCAGTACTGCTTTGCATGAAGTTTCAGCCATACGTGCTCTCCAGGGTGCAGTTTGCATGTGGAGTGAGTGGCTGTGTAAGAGGAGGGCTGATGTTCCGGAGGCAAACAGGAGCAAGAAAATCTCGACATTGATTTCTCTCCATTTAGCACAGGCCCATACATTAAGAAACATACTAAACTACTAGCAAAGTCATCTGGACCTTCCCTCAGCTATTTCTCTCCATGGTTCCTGGAGGCAGCTGTTTTAAGTGATGTTTATAGAGGGGGGTGTGCTGCTAACTCATCCAAACGGTAGGCCTCCTGCAAACTTTTAAAAAGTCTCTGCTTGTAGCAGGCCAAATTTTCCAGACCTTGTTAAATGTTATTCTGGGCACTGGTCTATACCCTTGAGAAATTCCTTACTGAGCAGATTATAAGGGCAGCCAGTGACCCAATAACCTTCATTTTCCTGGGATGATGCAATGGCCGATTCATGCTCAGGAAGTACAGAGGGCTGAGCAGAACGTGAAATGAGCTGCTGAAATTCCCAAGTCAGCGTTTTGTTTCCATGCCATCGAGGGTAAGATTTCAAAGTGTAGAACGGTCCTTTAAGTTCTCTCTTTTATGAGGTCAGGCTAAATGCTTCCCTTTTATATATGAAGAGAGGGCGATCCTTGCCAGAGTCCACACTGGGTTTGCTCTTGTTTTGATTTCTGCTTTGGTTGGGAGCTCTGTGTAGCAGGAAATGCGGCTTTCAGCAGCAGTTCAGGCTTTGCTGGAAAGTGGCCCCTGCAAGAAACAGTGGCTGCAGAAGCATCGAAGCACTTAGCAGCAGCAGCAGCAAGACTCTCTGCTGCAGCCACACTCTCTCTGCAGGCTCTGTCACTCAAATGCCCTTCCCTTCTACCCAGTCCTCAACTTCAAGGCTCTACATTTAATTTTGGGCAGTGAATAACATGAATGAAGGAGTAAGAGAAAAAAAGCTCTGAAGAGTTGGCCAGACTGTGAGAGAAGGGTAAATATTTCAAGATAAACCTGACTGTGAGGCAGTGAAAGGCAGGTTAGAAACATGCAGGATTGCGTGAGAGGAATCCTGTAAAATATTATATATCCCCACTTCCATCTTCTTGATTTAATCAACTACAGTTGACATGAAAAAACAACGCCCAGCACAGCCTACAGGGATCTCCAGGAAAGCCTTAGAAAGTATATTAAAACTGGTAGATTGGATCAAAGCTCTGGACAATGTTCTCTGTTGGTAGTACCTGCAATAGCAGAGAAATTAACTGGATGCAACAACACACTTGTACAAGGGTTGGCTTGACTGCAGGCACAAGCAGGGACCTGAAGTCTGTACTAGAGTGCTTTTAAGATACAGCAGCTAGAAGTGGCTTAGACACTCCCTGCAGCCATGTAGAGCCATAGTTGATTCTGACCTTCCAGTGTGTCTCACGTGATGCCTGCTCGAGAAGGACATCATGGTGAAACACAGTCCTACTGGAGAAAACACCACATTGGGCTGGAACACAGTTGCCAGAAAAATCAGATCAGTTTCCAGACTGCAGTAATCTGGGCAGTTGTTTAGATTAAATGGTTCGGGCTGATTAACCTGTAACCCCAGCACTGGGTTCCCACCCCAAATCTCAGTAACACTTTGTAAGGGACAGAGACAGAAGAGCCCTGAGGTCAAATCCTCACTGTGGCTGTATAAGCCTGTTTCTCATTCTTGGTGTCAAAAGCGAGTTGATGTCTACTCCCCTCTAGCCATACTTAAAGGCTAGTCCAGAATTCCCTTCCTGCCTAAACTAATTCAGGACCAATACACATCAAGTCCTCTTATGCCAACAGTGTTGTGAATTTAAATAGCTCCCTGTCTCCTAAATCTGCACTTACCTTCCTGCTGCTCTTATGCAGAGGAGCCGTATCTGTCTTGGACTCCTAAGCTTAAACAAAACACTTCTTTCGGCTCCCAGGACAGACTCTCCTTTTCTTTCCATTTCAGTATTTCTGCCCTTTGAAATCCTGTGCTTTGACAGCTCAAGAATTCTCATCACAGAAGAGTTTCTGCAGAGGAGAAAAAAAAAAAGTTATCAGGGCATTCAGAACTGGCACCTGAATTAGTATGGCGGGAACTAGCTTCTTTACAGAACTCCACGGGGCTTTGTGGAAGCAGTTAGGCTGAAAAGCTGCCAACTGTTTTTTGGGCAAACAGATGCTTTTTTCTTTGAAATTCCAAATGAAACGACAGGAACTTGCTGCTGATGGAAAGGGCTGGGCATGAGACTTTACAAATACTGCTAGTGCAGTAGAATTTTCCAAGGCCCATATAACACGTGTGGAAACAAAGCTGCAGTGGGATGCAAAATTTCTCCTTAGGGCTGTAACATTAAGAATAGTCTGTTCTTAGTCCAGAGAGAAACAAAATCAGAGGAATTTGATCCCAAGTAGTGAACCAAAAAATGCCAGGCATTTTCTGGATGTCTGTGTTATTACAGAGACCAGCCAGGGATGTTATTTGTCTTTGAGCTATACAGCTGTTAAAGTTCTAAGAAATGAAGTCATGGCTTTCAACACACCCCGGTTATAGCATGTATTTCTATTTCAACTCTGAAGGTGGCCTGGACACTCAGAAATGCACGGGTGTCTCAAAAGCTACCATCTACTTGTCTGCAAGATCAAAAGGGACCAAAGCAACATTTGAGTTTACCTAATTTTAAATGTGATTCTGTAATTTGCCATCAATAGTGTCACTGCGGCTCTCACCTGCCCTTTCAACACTGCCAATTTTACTGGCAGGGAGCGACTACAGATACTGCAATCCCTACTTGGAAGCAACCATCTGAAACAAGCCTCAAATGGTCTGCTTTCTGCCTCAATTTATATTTGTAGAGTTTTGCTAGGATTTTGAAGATAGCCCAGCACTTACCTTTTACAGAAAAATCCAGTCCTTATCATGTTCCCCTTTTGCAACAGGGTAGAGATGCAGCAATATCTGTCATTGTGTGGAATGTCCACAAGGGTAGAAAGTGTTATCTCATGTTTTGCCCCCCCTGCTCTTGCTCACAGTGAATTATTTTTTTCCCCAGCACAGGATTTAGACTTGCCCGTGTTGTTTGGCCAACCCCACTTCCAGTACACAATCACACATATCCAAAGCTGTGCTGGCATCTCAAATTCCACTGCAATAATGTGACCCACCAGACCTAGAGAGACCTCTCTGCAAGTCCCAAAGCCACTTCCTAGCCTGTGCCTGCCTTACAGTTCCAGAGGAAAAGAACAGACAACGTTCCATTCTGTATCCAGCAGCTCTCCCTCCATTCAAAGGCAATTACCATATTAGTAACCATCTAGCATGTTAAGCAGGGAGGGTGTGAAACAACAAAATAAAAGGGAATACCTGATATCTTCATCGACAGATGTGAATCTACATAAGGACCAAGCAGTTTGAACTCTGCTACTAGCAAATACTTTAAAAAGGACTATAGGCTGAAGGTTCTCTTTTTAGTGGGTGTTGCCCATGGAAGTAGATAGATATGGAAGAACATCTGAATAGGCTCTGACCTCTTCTGAGCTGGGTACATCTGGTCATGTAACAAAGAGCCACTCTCATGATTTGGAAGAGACCTAAGATGACTCCTGAACAGTCAGGAAGCTAACCAGAAAATTCTTTGTGGCTTGAATTGCTGGGCTACAGGATCTGGAAGCATCACAGGCATGTCACAACAGTAGTTTGGCTTGAAAATTACCCTAAATAGCCTTATCACCACCAAATGATAGAGGATGGCAACTGGACTGCAAGCCAAGCACAACAGAATGACTGATTTTTCTGCGGTCTTTTTGAACTGGTATTTTTTCTCTCCACAGTCTTCATATGTGAAATCGCTGTAACACAAGGTCCCAGATCCAAAGAGGTCAGCGATATATGTAAGAGATCAGCAAGAACAGTGTGTTTATTCTAAATTTCTCACTCCCTGTCATTTTTCTGACACAAAAGGAAACAGACTCAAAGTTATGCTGGCACACAAACGTTTAGCTAAAATCACTACTGATTTCATGAAGCAAAAGCTCAGTCTAGACTTAAAGAATACAACCAATTTGTTTCAAACACTCCTCTGTTTGAAGTCATAACACTAATATTCCTACAATGTCTGGATTGCTTGAACTCACTAATTTTCAAATCTATTTAAGAGAATGTGATTATTCATATTTTTTGACCATACACACCTCTCAAATACACATTACTGTGGCTAAAGCTGCATATACTGAAACATACTGACTTTGAAGGAAAAAAGCCAAGCAGGAGCAGATGAAAGTAGGCAAAACCAGATGCAAGCAAAACCAATAACCAAAAAGAGAAGAGAAATAAACATTCAGCTGAAGTCTCCAATGATTTCATGAGACAAAAGTTCAGTCTCGGCTTGAAGAATATACTCATTTTGGTTCTTAACATGCCTCCATCTTAGGTCATAACACAAATATTCCCACAGCGACTGTATTACTTCAACTCATTAAATTTCAAATAACAATAAATAACAATCTTTAAACTGTTAGCAAAGCTATGTGCTTCCCCCCTCAGTAAAAGATAAAAAAATTGTCTAAAGTGTAAGCATTTTACATGCACTTGAGTTGGTTTCACACCAACTTTGCTAAGCATGCCTCTTTAGAAAAAATATTATTATTTTAAAATAGCTAACCATTTACACAGAAAAAGTAGAACTAAATGTAATCCTCAGACTGGATCTCAAGAAACTGTGCTTGCATTTTAGACATATAGTGTCATTTCAACTCATTTATTGTTAAAAATGCAAACAAAATATGAATATTTAGAAGAGACAAAATACTCGTGCTTACATAGCTGAAGGCAAAAAGTAAGTAATTGCAGACAGACTGGAATCATTAGTGTGGTGTTCTTAATGCCTAAGTCTCACGTAGCTGCAGATGACTAAAGGCATCTCTGAGTAAACTCCAAAACTGGTTCTGTGGCTAAAAGTGTCACACTAAAGGCTTCAATGCCTCGGGATTGTCGCCATATTTTGCAGGAGGCTGAGTTAAATAAGTTGCAAGAGCTTTGTCTGAAGTATTAAAGCTGTCACTTCTCTTGTAAAAAAAAAAAAAGTCAGAGAAAAACACTGTGTTCAGTCCATCCTTACTGGAAAAGAACCGAGGCTGGTGCCCTGTGTTCAGTCCTTCCTTACTGGAAAAGAACCGAGGCTGGTGCCTTAACAGTGGTTACAACATAAGGCAAAGCCAAGGCACTGAGCAGAGATTCTTGCAGATTAAATTCAACTCTGGAAGACAGGATGTTTGTCTAAAGCACTGGCAGCGAAAGATGGTTGTTCTTGGCACTAATCACAGTCACTGTTTAAGTCCCCCTGCTATACAGTTACTGAGAAAGAATGCATTTGATTTCTTTGGAACTGACAGAGAAACATGAAGGCAAAAAATAATGTGCAGCAGTTAACAACTAGATGGGAATATAAATTTTAACCCCTTCCTGGATATGGCTACTACTGCTCTATCCAGTTCTCGGATCACAGGAACTTCACTGGCTATTCCATGCAGTGCAACCCGCTCCAGGGATTTGAACAAGCTATCTCCCCTCCTGCAACATAATTTTGCCATCTGTTAAATAGGAATGACTCATTTGTAGTGTTTTATGAACCACAAATAAGAAACGGTTTCAGAGAGCAGAGTATTCTTCTTAGTACTGATCTTGGGACAGACGCGATGGAGAAGGTGGAACTAGTAACATGTGGTAAAGCACGTGGGCCGTGCATTGTCTCTCTGAGCATCTGAAACTCTCATTTGGGAAATCCCTTAAGCACAGGCTTAAATCCCATTTAACACAACTTGAGGTTTCAGAAGCAAGGCTGATAAAACTATTATCTGGCAGTACATCCTTAATAAAATGCAACGTATTTATTGTCAAACTGGAGAATGTACAAGACAGTACAAACACATATTTATGATATACCCATTGCCCCAGAATCTGACCACTCTCTCCAAGACGAAATCAGATCAACAGTTCAGGGACTTATGTTCAAGTAAATATTTTAGTCAATAACCTGGTATAAACAATGCAATTTGAATGCAAATATCAACTATAATGATGGAAGAAACCTCTATATTAACCTTTTTACTTGGTCCATTGCACTGTACAAAACAGAAACAGCCACAAAACCTACCGATTTTTGAACCATATTCAGAGAAGATGGAGCATAGTGCAGGGAATTACTCTAAAACAAAAGGATTACAACAACAGCCAAGAAAGTACTGAATATTGACCCACGTGGGATTGGCGATTCCAACCAGCATTATTAAATTCAGCACTCTAAGAGCAAAAACTGTACTAAGAAAATAGCCGGCAACATTTTCTCACTTTCCTAACGCAGTATCTTTTCCACAGACTTCAAAATGCTTCTGAGGTTGCTAAATTTACATTTGATTCATGACCATTCATTGACCATGAATGAATTTTCATCTTCAAAAGTTCTGAACTTCATGTTCCATGTATATTCTTAATAAAGAGATTTTGACTTTCTAGCAATACCAATTATGGGTAAAGGTGCCAAAGGAAATCCTCTTCTGGGATAAACCCTCACGGTGTACATTTTAGGATGCTAAGTCACCAGCCTCTACTATCAATTTTTAAAATTTATAAATAAATATACTTAGAAAATAACTAGTAGAGAAATAAAATCATGTTTGTTATATAAACTGTACCTCATCCAAATTAGGAATGGATAAACCCCACATATTAGTATTTCTCCTGCCACCCTAGACATAACTGATTTGCACAGGTGGAAAACTTAGTGTACATATTGTTAAAAGATGCTCAAAAAAGAAAGAGCCCAGCTCTCAAAAATGCTCAGAAGAAAAGAGAAAGGGAAAAGCAAAGGAACTTGTAAGGAAAGATAAGGTCAAAAGGGACCCAAGCACATCAAACACTGCCATTTATTTTTCAAGTCTCTAGGCATTACCGTGCAAGCACAATTAACTTCCCTACAGTCTCTAAAGTAGTGCCTAGAATGTTTTCAACACAAATTAAAATCGTGCAGCACAGAAAATAAGGACAGCGAAGTTTCCAAAAGCTTTTTTCTAGAAGATTAAAATATCTGTTTTAAAAGATTTTAATAATGTTTTAAAATATTTTAGCCTAATACATGCCAAAGGCCTCTATGTCCCCCCAGTTAAATACTCAGTTAACCAATCCTGTCACGGAGAATGCATGGAAAAAAGCTACCATATAATCAGAACCACGATACACCCATCTGGTGATGGATCCACTTGATGAGCACACAGAATGCCAAAAAGATCCCACTTTAGCATGAACACAGTCATGCCAGCAACAGCCCCTGCTGGCAGCAACTTCAAAGTAGTTATAATGCAACTGATCAGTGGCAAGATTTCAGAAAAAATTCATTTTTCTGGTACGAAATTTCTGGCAAGATTTCATATAGAGCACTGAAGTAGTTTAACTGTATGTACACATAGAGTTATATCTGACATGGCAAAACATTGAATGAAATGGAAATCAGAACATATATAAAAGCAAAACTAGCCTTCTCCCTAAAACTCAACACCACCAAGCACCCAACACCCCTGAATAACCAGTGTTTGACTTTTGTATATATTTATATGTGGTTAACAGGCTTTATCTTAAGGATATTAAATGGTCACTGACATGTATCACAAAGAATTCATAATTTTGTCTATGCAGCAGAGCTTTAAATAGAACATTCTCCTCTGTCGCCTGGGAATTCTGCCTTTTCCCAGCCTTGCAGATAGATAAAACTTCTGCCTTATTTTGCCTAAGGAGGAAAATGATCCTCATCCTTTGCATGACAATCAGTGCAACACAAGTCACAAATACCTACGTGCAGGGGAAAAAAGGGAATTCCTTCAAGGGCTTATTGCTGGTGAAGACAAAAATAAAATGTGATTTATTTTTGTGGCAGATAAATACTATACATAATGGCGTGGCAGCGTGACTGCAAACTCCTTTGTGCCTCTCTTGGGCTTAAAACTTTAACAGGAAGGGAAGATATTAAAATGACAGTTCAACTCCCTAGAAACTCCAGCATATCATTACAAAACCGTCTTGAACAGAAGGTTCTTCCACTGCAACAAAGCATACGAAATTGAGAGAAAACAAAAGTCTCTGCTACGTTATTATTTTTAAAACATTTAAAAAGTGACAAGATGGCACTTATATTTGTAGCTCAATAAATGATAGATAATAACCTTCAGGCAAAACAAATCAGGTTGTCAGATATGAACTGTCACAGGTATAGCATTTCCACAGTCCAGGGCATGGGTTGAACTGGGCCATGTCTAGTTTAGATCAATTCTCCTGTTAAATTTCTCTGGTGCTGCAAGACTGCAGCCCAGAACTCTTCTGTGGTACCTGCTTTATGCAGGGGCAAGGCAGATCACACACATTTTGAGACAATTCCTGTGCCTTCTGGAGACGCAGGCAATACACAAAGTCCAGCACTGTTAAGTTTATTGACTCCCACTAGGAAGTTTAAGATTTATGGGGGTAATCTGATACCAGGCAGTTGACACAGGGGATACTCTGCCAGAATTATTGAAACTACCAGCTACTGAAGAAATGAATGCCACTTGTGTTTGTGCCTCAGTACCAGGTCCTCCTTCTGCCCATTGCTGACCAAAGCAGCGTGAGTTTGGTCAAGCATCCCCCTGACCACTGTGACGAAAGTCGGGGTGTAGCCTCTTGGGCTGAAGGACACCCGTGGGGCTGTACCCAGCGCTGGTGCACTCTGCAACGTTCCCTCCAGGATCTCTGCATCGCTCTCCACTGAACGATGCGGAGTGCCCCAGGACAGAGCTCACACAGCAAAGGAAGGGCAGCTCATGAGCCAGATCCAGTCTGTGCATCTGCCTACCTCCGAAATAATCTATCAGACTTTGTTGCAGGTCCTGCAAAGCAGCAATTTGTAACAGACTTGTAACTCACGTGAACAAACAGTTTCTGCATTTGGCATCATAAACTTCGTGCCACAGAAATGTTGTTTCATTAATGGGAACAACCGCAATATGTTTAATGTATACACTGTGAATATGGAAAAGCAGGTTTCAGGAATCATGACAATTATGGGCAGATAACTCTGTGTTAATCATGATGCAGTTACATAAGATTTTACAGTATAAGACACACAAAAAAAAATATATTCCAAACCCAGAGATTAAAAATAATGTAAGGAAGAAATGTAGTGATGGCACATGCCATACTCCCAAGATGAATACCTTATCAGTTTGGACTGATTAAAAGCAAAAATGTACTCATGAGCTATACCTTTACGTTGAAGAGGTTTCTAAATTTTGTATTCATCCCTTCATTAGGAATTAAGTAATAAAGATGCAGAAAATCAAAGTGAAAGAGACAGATGAAACAAGAATCTGCCTTCAATTCTTTGTTGTACAACTTTTCTTACTTTGAGGCTTCTGATATAGAAAAGTTTAAACAAATGATAAAATTTTCAGATTATTTTCTGAATAGTTGGGGAAGCAACACTAGACTATTTGCACACGAACAACTTTGAGGCATTTTGCTTTTAATTTGCATACAATTCCTTAAAGTGAATTCCACATGAAGAAGGGTGAGATACAACAGAGCTCGTTTACCATTTCACAAGTTAACAGAACAAAGTAACATCTGTCCTTCTTATTAACTAGCTTTCATCTCTTACTCCAACTTGTCACTTCCTGCTGCAAGTCTCCACGCCAAATAAGTGCATGGACAAGTTCCAAACTCCACAGACGGTCATATGTGGACTTCAGTGGTACTGGAAATTCTAACAGCAAGAAAAAATTGAAATAGAAAGACTTTAGATGAGCTTATATTCTCTTAGTGTTTCCCAAATGAATACCCAAAATTCAGAGTAAAAAAATACTTCAGTTGTTCAGCTCAGCTACTCATCTGAGTGGGGTTCCTCTACGGAGCACATAACTAAGGAGAAAAAAGAACAATACTTTCTGTCAAATAAGAGGGGGCATTAAGTCAGAAATAGAGAGATCTCAAAAT